AAGTCAAAATAACCTATTGTATTTTTCGTACTGTAAGACGTGCCTACCTTTTGGGGCAGAAAACAAAAAAAAAAATCTGCCTCTGCCTCCCAGCAATTTGCGTCCTTGCAGCAAACAGCTTGGTCAGCTTCAGCACAGCCTGATTTAGCAAGAGCATGCTGATTGGCAGTTGGATTGGATTCCCAGAATACCGCCGATCAGCTGTTCCAGGCAGCGGGGATCGCCACTGACCATCGCCGCCTCCGCACACCCCGTTTTCAGCCTCTGCGTGCCCCATTTGTGGCCTGTTACAGGCACTGCCACCTACAAACAGGACGCGTGGCGGCGATCATGCAGCCTGAAACAACTAATTGGGGGTATTTGAGAAGGCCGATCCAACTGCCAATCAGGTGCTCGTGTTAAATCAGGCTGTGACACAAATTGCTGGGAGGCAGAGGGCGAAGGGTGCGGGCCAGTGGGTGGGTCGGGCTTTGGCAACATTTGCTCTATAAGACATCACCACCCACTTTTGGTGTGTATGTACGTATGCGTCTTATTGACCAAAAAATATGGCATTTCCTCCAAGGCCCTCAATGGCTGAGTACCAACTCCCCCTCTCAACAATCTGTTCTAAAAATGAGTCTGAACTAAAGTTATCCAACACTGTTGAGTCCAAGGATGGCCTTCTGAGAAGGGAGCATGCTATAACCCTTCAAAAACTGATGATGCCACCCCCTCAGATGAAGAGGTAACCAAAGTGCTATCTATGATTCTACATTTCTGGGAAGTTACAGAATGATTAGAAGAAATTCAGAGGGAAACATCTAAGGATATGCCAAACCATGACAGGTTTAGATTGAAAAACCTAGGGCGGTCAGGCTGGAGAAAAAAAGATGATGGGAAGATATGATGAAATTATGTGGAGATTCATAAACAAAATAGGGAAGGTGGTCAAGAACTACCTTCTCCAACTACAGACACCAGATCCAAAATGGCAAGTTGCAGCTACATGTAATTTGTTTAAATATAGGAAAACTCCCTGATTGTAAAACATTAATGTGAATGTTGTGGGTACTTCATCTCTATATGGTTTAAAGGAGAGGGTTAACATGCTGTACATGCCTTCCAAAGGTCATCCACAGGTTTACCCAATGCCATCTCAGTACTGTATACCAGTACTGTATCCCAGACTGACAAGGGTCCAATAATCCACTTGATTCTCTGAAGTTGAGCAGTAACCATCCTCTCAACAGCCTTCCTCAAAATGGAACTTTGGAGATTGGATGAAAGTTATCTAACATAATTGGGTCTAAGGATGGCCTCTTGAGAAGGGGTCACAAACCCTTCTGTCATTCACCTCACCATTTTACATGGAAGGAAATAATCTTATACTAAGCATGGTTACACCTAACTAGTACTTGGAAATGCATCAAGAGACTCCAGACAACACAGGGAAGAAAGCAGCACTAAAAACACCTCCATATTGCTGCCAAGAAAATTACCGTATTTTTCAGAGTATAAGACGCACCTTTTTCTTCAAAAAAGAGGCTAAAAATCTGGATGTGTCTTATAGGCTGAATACAGCATTTTTTTGCCTCCTGAAGCCCCGCCCCTTCACCAAAATGGCCGTGCATACCCCTATGGAGGCTTTCATAGAGCTCCTGGGGGCTGGGGAGGGCAGAAATGAGCAAAAAAATGGGCCATTTTGCGCCCCCCCAGCAGCACTCTATAAGCCTCCACAAGGGTGGATTTTTTTTGACAAAAATGGGCCGTTTTGGGGAGGTTGGCAGAGTGCAAAAACTTTTTCCCCCCTTTTGGGAAGCTCTTTCACTGATTGATGAGAATTACATTTATCAAGTGCTCTGCCAGTAGAAATAAAGTCTTAGGTGCTG